TGTTTCTTTCAATCAAAACCATTTGTCAAGCCATTGGGAAACGCCTTGCTCACATCACATCATTTTTACACCTACAAACAAACATTATTAGCGGGACCCTGGCATTAGTACCACGGACTTCAGCGCTTGTAGTGTATCAAGCCTTGCAAGCCGCTGCGCCAAAAACCCGTGAAACGTACGGGGTACCCACCGAACCCTGCCTGCCTCAGCCCAGAGCTGGAAACAAAAAAACAAAAAGCACCCACCTCACCGTGATCTCTTCCGGTCCGTTTTCTCCCAGACCGCAAATTATCGACATTTTCGAAACTCCCAGATTTAAGCTCTTCTCCGCTTTCAGTTGGCATTACTCAACCCATTGCCCGAATTGATCCCCGCCGATTTTTGTGACACTTGATGGGTCTCCTCAACATCCGATCGCCGACGTCATTGCGGACGGCCGTGACCGCCGCTGGCAATTCGCCCAACGACTTTTCAATATCAACCACCGCACCCTTCACGGTCTTCGCAGGCGGAGAACATGACTCTCACCCTTCCCTCCCCCATCTCGTGCTCCTCGTTTTCGGGGCCGTTCTCGAGGTAGTATGTGTCAGTTTGCCTGGATACATCATCGCCAGGCTTGGCCACTTCGACGCCGAGAAGCAGAAGTTCTTGGCAAACCTTAACGTAATGCTATTTACGCCATGCCTTAGTGAGTTCACACGCAATACAACGTAGTTTCTCCTGCCAAACAGTATCTCGGAAGACTATTGGCTAACGCTGGGTCGGACAGTCTTCACAAAGCTGGCATCTCAACTTAACGCCGATAAGCTGATTGAGCTCGGCGTCATCCCCATCATTTTCGTGATCCAGACGTTTGTCTCGTACATGGTCTCGGTTGGAGTCTCAAAATGCTTCGGATTCAACAAGCGCGCTTCCAACTTCGTCACCGCCATGGGCGTGTTCGGCAACTCCAACTCGTTGCCCATCTCCTTGGTCATCTCGCTGTCGCAAACCTTGAAGGGACTGCACTGGGACCGGATCCCTGGTGATAACGATGACGAGGTTGCCGCCCGCGGTATTCTGTATCTGATGGTCTTCCAGCAGCTTGGCCAGCTCGTCCGCTGGAGCTGGGGATTCCACATTCTGCTTGCGCCCAAGTCCAAGTACGAAGAGTACAACCACGAGACGATCGAAGAGGGCCGCTACCGTGACGAACCGTTGGAGGGCGACCATGCCGCGCAACTCATTCAAGGGCTGGATAGCACCCACGAGACTGGCGAAGAACGTTACGCGCACGGTTATGCGAGCCCGACAACGCAGTCCGACCACTCCGAAGTCTACGAGCCTGCAGGTCGTACTCCTGTTGCTGGGTCGTCAAGGACCTCTCCTAGTGATTATGGCGATGACGACTCGGATACTATCCGGAAGCCCGGGAACGGCAATACTGTCTCTGACCACGACGATGGGCTCAACGGAATGATGTCATTCCCCCGCATCAGTAATGCCGATGAACGCGAAGTTTCTGAAGGCTTCCCGGCGCGCGTCAAGGCATCGGCCAAGAAGGTTGCCGCTTCCGTCTCCGGTCTTGCTCATACCGTGTTCTCTGCTCTTCCGACTCCCGTGCAGAAACTGCTCAGCAAGGTCTACAGCGGCCTGTACCGCTTCGGCGCTGGTCTCTGGGAGTTCATGAACCCGCCTCTCTGGGCTATGCTCGCGGCCGTCATCGTGGCCTCGATCCCGGATCTTCAGGAACTCTTCTTCAAGGACGACACCTTTGTCAAGACCAGTATCACCAGCGCCATCAACTCTTCTGCCGGTGTTGCCGTTCCCTTGATCTTGGTGGTGCTGGGTGCCAACCTGGCGCGCAACACGCAGAAGCGCGACGAGGTGGACGCTGAAGAGAAGCAGATTGGCACCAAGCTGCTGGTTGCGTCTTTGATCAGCCGCATGCTCCTCCCGACTCTCATCATGGCGCCCATTCTTGCCATCTTCGCCAAGTATGTGCCTGTCAGCATTCTGGACGATCCGATCTTTGTTATCGTCTGCTTCCTCCTCACGGGCGCGCCTAGCGCGTTGCAGCTGGCTCAGATTTGCCAGATCAACAACGTGTACGAGGTGGTCATGGGCAAGATTTTGTTCCAAAGCTACGTTATCTGGTATGTGAAGATATCACTCTGACATCTAATATCTAAAGTAACCCTTTACTGACACGCAATTACTAGGATCCTTCCTTCTACCCTTATGTTGGTCATGTGCGCTCTAGAGGTTGTCGAGTGGGCTGCTTAATTGAGCGCCCTTGCGCGCACAAAGTATGTGTGTCACGTCATTATGACTGTTCCTCTGAACACACGTTTCTTTGCTTGGTGTAATAACTATGGCAAAAGTGTAACATTTCCTTTTCTGCACCAGTCGGCGCTCACGGATTAGGTAACGGTTTCGGTTGGGAGCATCATCTGGGTTCCTTCTCCAGACGTGTTGACGGAAAAGTCAAAAGCACACATAATGGCCTGTGAAGAGGCATGGGAGAATGGATAAGGATGCATGATTAATGAAGCCGATGGTGGGTGCTAGGATTGTATAACTTATGACTGCTTAGAATGATAGCGTTCCGTCATTACCTAAAATTCTTGATTATAATTTCACCATTTGCTCAGACCTCCAAGCTTTGATTGTTGATATCAGTTACTAAGGGAAGCGTATGTGAAGATTCTGAACTGGTTGTAGTACACACCCTCTGATATCTGATGATATGTGTTTGTATAGTAAGTATAGTCAACAATAGTTATTCCTCAACTCCAGTCCATATCACAGCCTTCCACATTCCGGTCAACCCGTCCATAAGCTAGCCGAATAAAAAAAAGGAGCTTTCGCTCTCCCCTCTACCGGATACCATTAACCAGGGCCTCGTTTGTCCCCTCACTCCTCCCCTCCGGCGGCGCAATAACCCAATCCTGCACCGTCCCCTTCCAATCCGCAATCCGGACATCCCGGATTCCCACCACCACCACTCTGACATCCTCATCCGCCACGTATCTCTCTCTACCATAATCCCCTTCCTCTCCTCCAGTTTGTAATGCTGATGGTATTTGCTGTTGTTGACCAGAAGTGCTTCCCCTCCGGATGCTGTTCATCAGAGGTTGCTCGCTGTCAAAGGTGTTGTTCTCCAAATGCTTCTCCCGATAAAACTTCTCCTCTTCGGAGCCGCGGTCGACGAGGCGGGCGGAGCCGTTTATGGTCGCGCTGATGGAGGAGACGGCGCTAGTGTTGAGGTTAAACAATAGAGCGGCGAGAGAGGAGGAGCGGTGTTCAGGGCCCGGAGATCCGCCCGAGGGACGGCGTTGGTGGGAGGTAGAGGGGCGGTGGGAGACCCCTTTGTTGTCAAAAGTTAGTAAATAGTTGAGTTGAGATTGGGGAAAGCGAAAGGGGAAAAGGGGGATGGATGGGTGGGAGAAAACAGGTGCTTACAATCGTGAACTAGCAAAGAGACGTTGGGGTTTGCGACCAGGTTATTCATCTTCTTGCTGGCAGGGTTGGTGGTCATGACGATGACGGGTGATCCGTCGGAGTACGGCGAAGAGGGGAGGTAGGTGTAGTTCATGAGCGACACGTGAGGCATGTTGTCGACGCAGGTGGCCAGGTGAAGGAAGCGCGCGTTCTCGAGACATTGGACGACTTCGGGAGGGAGGGAGCTGGTGATGCGCATGTTGGTGTTGCCGGCCGAGGCCTCGTAGTTGAGAGGTATCTGTTGGTTCATTGTGTTTTCTTGATGGTTTATGAAGTATGATGAGTCTGTGCCATCAAGGTTGTTGTTTTGGTGCTAGAGTCTTGGTTTGGCGGCCCGCCGAGTGGAATGATGGGTTTCTCCCGTGGAGCAAGAGGATCCGTTTGGTGGGTCGGTGTCAATGAGACGTGAAGTTAGACGTCGAGGCAGCGGGTGACAAGGAGGATTTTCAGATCTAAAAAGGGTGTATGAATTTGTTTGTGTTTTACTCAGACGAAGCAATTGATCAATTCATGTACTTGTTCTCGATGTCGTTCCCAGTGATCATTGTTGTCAATCGACTGAGTGCTGGCAACCTCAATGCCTGCCTGGACGATAGCAGCGTGGGCCCCATCGATTGGGCGATAACAGAGCGATAAGATATCCCTGCCTTTTGAGCGCGACCTGCTAACAGTGGGGCATCGAGAATGCGGGGAAGAGGAGAAACCCCACAAACCCTTGTCTAAAATGACGTTTCCCCAACTTTCACTTTTCATCTCATTTCTGGGGAAACTGAACACCGAGGACATCCGCGTCTCCATGTCGAGAGGGAGATGGCCTCTCCGGTTTCTGGATCAACAGGAACAATTGGAGCCATTGTAATGAGGAGGATCTTCATCAAGACCTCTGCCAATCCCATTGAGCAATCAAAGAGTGTCGGTCACGAGGTTGGCGGCTAAGACGAATTCGATCCTGTACTTAGTGTAAGTGGCAGGGGATCAACGGCTAGTGTCGGCCTCCTCACACGGCAGTCTCAACCTCGGGAAGATGGACGACATCCAATTGGCGTGGAAGGCACTGCCCGGAATTTGAAAAGGTAGGACAGTGACAGTCTAGCAGACGGGGCGGGTGGGATTAGCTTTCTCTGTTCGGCTTTGTCAGTTTTGGTTTCTGTCCATGTCTTCCTCCCTTCTCCTCTTTACTCTTCTTGTTTGTTTGTTTTGACCTTCTTGAGAGAACAATTGCAAGCCTTGTCGCGATATCTCGTCTTACACATTCCCCAAAATTCACCATGCGCGCCGTAAAACGAGCTTCTCGCCGTCTCCCGGTGTCTTTGCGCACCGCTCCCACCTCCGCCCCCGGTTCGGGAGCCCGCTTCCTCTCGACAACCGCCCCTACCTCGTCGACAGCTACCACCACAGGCAGCACCAACACTTCGGTAACCCCCATCACATCCGTTCTCATCGCGAACCGTGGTGAGATCGCTCTCCGCGTTGCTCGAACGGCGGCCTCTATGGGCATCCGCACCACAACCCTCTACACAGATATCGACGCCGCTTCACAACATGCCAAGTGCACCCCCTATGCCATCTCCCTCGGCGCCCCCAAGGCCTACCTCGATGGTCCACAGATCGTCGAGCTCGCAAAGCAGCATGGAATCCAGGCTCTCCACCCGGGTTACGGTTTCCTGAGCGAGAACCCCGCCTTTGCCAAGGCCTGCGAGGACGCCGGTATTGTCTTTGTCGGCCCTCCCCCTAAGGCTATGCACGATATGGGTGACAAGGCCCGTAGCAAGGAGATCATGAACGCTGCCGGCGTGCCATGTGTCCCTGGCTACCATGGCCCCGAGCAGTCTGTCGAGCAGCTCAAGGCCAAGGCCGCCGAAATCAAGTACCCAGTCCTGCTCAAGAGCGTCAAGGGAGGCGGCGGCAAGGGTATGCGTATCGTGCGCACCGCCGACGAGTTTGAAGCTCAACTGAAGAGCGCGAGGGCTGAGGCACGCGCCAGCTTTGGTGAGGGTGGTGAGGTGATGCTCGTGGAGAGATACGTTGTGCGCCCCAGACATGTCGAGGTCCAGGTTTTCGCTGATAAGCATGGCAACTGCGTGGCCCTTGGCGAGCGCGATTGCAGTATCCAAAGGAGACATCAGAAGATCCTCGAGGAGAGCCCTGCGCCCTTGTTGGATGATGTAACAAGAAAAGATTTGTGGGATAAGGCTAGGAAGGCTGCCCTTGCCGTGGACTACGTGGGTGCCGGCACCGTCGAGTTCATCTTGGACAAGGACACCAACGAGTTCTACTTTATGGAGATGAACACCCGTCTCCAGGTCGAGCACCCCGTCAGTGAAATGGTCACCGGTACCGACCTTGTCGAGTGGCAGTTCAGGGTTGCTGCCGGCGAGAAGCTCCCCTTGACCCAGGACGAGATTGAGGCTAGGATTCTGGAAAGAGGTGCCGCCATTGAGGCTAGGATATACGCCGAGAACCCAGAGAAGGGTTTCTTCCCTGACTCAGGCACTCTGGTGCACCTCTCGAAGCCCCAGACAAACGAAGATGTGCGCATCGACGCTGGCTTCGTCGAGGGAGACACCGTTTCTGAGGCATACGATGGTATGATCGCCAAGCTTATCGTCAGGGGCAAGGACAGAGAGACGGCCATCCGCAAGCTCGAACTGGCCTTGCGCGAGTATGAAGTTGTTGGCTTGAGCACAAACATCGAGTTCCTCAAGAGACTTTGTAACAGCCAGGCCTTCATCGAAGGTGATGTCGAGACCGGTTTCATCGACAATTGGAAGCAAGAACTGTTTGAGGCCAAGCCCACCTCCAATGATGTCTTTGCCCAGGCTGCCCTTGGTCTCCTAGGCACCCAGACACAAAATGCCCCTGCCGCACATGGCCAAACCCTCGGCTTCGGCGAAGCCGCCACTCAGAACTCGCGCAAGTTTGCTTTCCGTGTCCAGGACGATGCCAGCACCGAGGAGGGCAAGATCGTCGAGGTTGAGGTCACCCAGTTGAACAACAAGCTGTTCAACGTATCTGTCCGCAAGGAGGGCGACGACAAGCCGCAAGTGTTTGAGAACATTGTGTCCGAGTCAACTTCCACAACGGCCCCGACCTCGTCAGCCACGAAGACCAAGCTGACTACTTACTTCCCTCTTGCGAGGGTCGACACAACCTTGGTCCAGGACCCTGCCGACAACGAGAAGTTGACGGTCTTCCAACTTGGCCACAAGACTCAGCTAAGACTTGTCACCCCAGGGTGGTTCGACAAGGCGCTGGGGTCGAAGGAGGCTGCGGCTAGCGTAGTGGCGCCGATGCCTTGCAAGGTCTTGAGGAACGAGGTTGAGGAGGGCCAGTCGGTGGAGAAGGGCGCTCCGTTGGTTGTGTAAGTTGTTGCCTCTTGGATGCCCGATTGTGGCTTGGATAGGTGGCTAATCCCCTGGACTACAGTATCGAGTCGATGAAGATGGAGACGGTTATTCGGTCGCCACAGACCGGTGTCATCAAGAAGCTGGCGCATAAAGAAGGAGTAAGTACAGCTGTCTAGCAAAATAGTTCGAGAAAAGCTACTAACATACTTTTGTAGGATATTTGCAAGGCTGGAACTGTTCTGGTTCTCTTCGAAGAGACCCAGGAGAGCGCCTAAAGATTTCTGTTTAGAGTTATGGGTGGATGATATTACACTAGAATACCTGTGTTATTACGTCTGGCAAGGTTTATCCTTGGATATCACGGCATGATGCGCGGGAGTTGTAACATACTTGTTGGAAAGTTTACAGGTTCACCATATCTTCAATGTTCGCCTCTGCGTGTCCGTAGTTTGTAGTACCAGTAGTGTTCTAACCATCCGACGCTCATGTATCTATACTAAACTGGGTATCTAATCAATCTTAATAAACTTAAACAAAAACTCTCCTCACCCTCAAACTCTCCCATTCATACGGTCCGCAATCTTCATGTCGGCCGCCCTACTATGCAGGCCACTCGTGAACCCGGCATCACCTCCACGATACTTCTTGTTCTGCTGGCGCGCCTTCTCATCCGCCTCTCTCTCCGCTCGCTCTGCTTCTGCGAGGGCCTTGAGCCGCTCCTCGCGAGCTTTGTCCAGGTCGGTGGCAGCCGCTTGCATGGCAGCCAGCTTCTTGGCACGCTCTTCCTCCTCTTTCTTGTCATCACCACCCGACTGCTGCGGCGGCGGTCTGCCTCCTCTTCTAAGCCCGCCGTTGTATCTTGATCGGTCATCTTCCCTCCGTGGTGGACGCTGATCACGGTTGCGGTCATCCCTGCGCGAAGATGGTCTGCTTTCACCACGCTCTGGGGAATACTCCCTTCTTCGTGATGAACGGCCGCCGCCAGGTGACCTTGACCTGGAGCGGGATCGAGACCCATGCCTTCGCGATCTGCTATCGTCCCTGACTCTCCGGCTCCTGGGGCTTTCATCCCGGTCTCGCCTCCTTGTCCGGTCGGGCGAGTCTCGTCTGCGCCGCTTGCTGCAGTCTTCCTCTGAATCGCTGCGCCTCCGTGGGCTCCTGCTTCGAGAGTCGGACCTGCGTCGGCGGGAGTGCCTATCTCTATCCCTGTCTCTATCGCGGTCACGGTCGTCGTCGCGACCCCTATGTCGGTCCGAGCGATGGTGGTGAGAGGAGCGGTGCTTGTGTCGTCGTTCCTCTTTTCCATCCTTCTTCGCGATCTGCGAGTCATCAATGCCCATAGATGCAAGCAGCTGTCTCCGCTTGATGGGGTCGTTCATCATCGCCTCGTACGCCTGTTGCTCCTGCCTCTTGATGGCAAGCAGTGGGTCTTCGCGAATCTTGGTCGCCACATCGCGGGCATTGGTCACCGCCGGCGCCGGCCCGGCAGCCGACAGAAGATCTTGCTGGGGTTGTTTCGACAGCGCCTTCTTGGTGTCGTTGTCCTGGAGGAGCTTGTCGATGCGCCGCTTGCCGAGCAGGTAGGCTTCGGTCTCGGCAGAGTCGCCGGCCTGGCCGTCGGTCGGGCCGCTGTACATCCATTCGACGCGGTCGATCTTGCGCTTGCCGCCGGCGGCTTCGAGGGCCTTTTGGATCTCCTCCTTGCGCCGCTCTTCTTCGATTTCTTGCAGGCGCTGTTGCAGCTTCTTGCGCTCGGCGATCGCTTCGGCTTCGGCTTTTTGAGTGGCGGCGACGTTCCCTGATCGCTGTGGATGCCAGCTCTTTTTCATGTTCAGATCACCGGAACCCATCTTGGCGGTGTTGGTGCTGCTATTGCAGCGAGCGAGTGGTGGTGGTGTTGTTGTTGTAGTTTAAGGGTGATCGGACGGATGATCGGGAGATGGTAGACACCACGAGATTGTCAATGGCCCGTTGGCAGGCTCAGAATTGCGATTGTTGAGCTCAAGGAGGATGAGAGTTGGAAATGGTTGTCGAGTGGCAAGGCACCTGGCTGTTTGTTGATGTAAGGGACAATTTTTAGAAGGCAGCGAGAACGCCCCGGCCACTGCTGGAGTGCTGAACCTACGGCACTCAGGCTATATGCAACCACACCCCAGCAGCTTGAGTTTTGACGTTCGCCTCTTGACCAATGGATAAGCAGAACCCACAGTTGCCATCTCCACTTGACTAACCTCCTCCCCACTCGAGCTTCAGCCTTACCAGAGGCAGGCGCGACCACAACCCACACTGACTACACCTGTTCGCCCTTTCGCTACGTACCTTTACGACCACCTTTTGTCACTTTCACTTTCAGCACGCACATAGAGCTTCGTTGTTTACCTACTTCGTCACCACACACACCAACCCTCCATTCTCACGCCAAACCACGCATTTCTTCTCCAGCATCTCTCATTCTCAGTCCCCCATTATCCAACCACCGAATCGTTTACGGCCCCGTTTAAGCCAGCGACCGCGACCATGTCCGACGACGATTTCATGCAAGACTCCGAGGAGGAGTATGACTTCGAGTACGAAGACGAAGAGGAGGAGGACAACGGCGACGTCGACATTGAAAACAAGTATTACAATGCCAAGCAGACCAAAACATCAGACCCTGAGGAAGCACTCCAGGAGTTTCTTAGCATACCGCCGCTCGAGCCGGAGAAGGGAGATTGGGGCTTCAAAGCACTGAAACAGGCTATTAAGATGGAATTCAAACTCGAGCGATACCAAGAGGTAGGTTCTAATACTATCAACCTAGTATAGTCTGACACGGCTAATCAAAGGCATAGGCAACCGACCACTACGAAGAACTCCTGACCTATGTCAAGTCCGCCGTGACGAGGAACTACTCCGAAAAGTCCATCGACAACATGCTCAACTACATCGAGAAGGGATACGACGATCCCAAGGCTGTCCAGTGCATCGAAAAGTTCTACTCCCTTACTCTTCAATGCTTCCAAAGCACAAACAACGAGCGCCTATGGTTGAAGACGAACATCAAGCTTGCACGACTGTTGCTCGACCGCAAGGATTACCACGCAGTCGCCCGCAAGTTGAGGGAGCTCCATAATGCTTGTCGAAAGCCCGATGGAACCGATGATCCCAGCAAGGGCACATATTCCTTGGAGATCTACGCCCTGGAAATCCAAATGTACTCGGAAACACGCAACAACAACCAGCTCAAGGTTCTCTACCAGAAGGCGCTCAAGGTGCGGTCCGCCGTGCCGCACCCCAAAATTCAGGGCGTCATCCGCGAGTGTGGTGGCAAGATGCACATGAGTGAGGAAAACTGGAAGGAGGCCCAGAGTGACTTTTTCGAGGCATTCCGCAACTACGATGAGGCCGGTGACCTTCGCCGTATCCAGGTTCTTAAGTATCTGCTCTTGACGACAATGCTGATGAAGTCGGACATCAACCCCTTTGACAGCCAAGAGATGAAGCCCTACAGAAACGACCCTCGCATCTCCGCCATGACGGAGCTTGTGGATGCATACCAGCGCGATGATATCTACAGGTACGAGGACGTACTCCAGAAGAACACCGATCTACTAGCGGATCCGTTCATCGCCGAGAACATTGACGAGGTCACGCGTAACATGCGCACCAAAGGAGTGGTCAAGCTTATTGCCCCATATACCCGCATGCGTGTTAGCTGGCTTGCGGAGAAGCTGCGTATTACCGAGCCGGAGGTTATGGACATCTTGAGTTTCTTGATCGTTGATGGACGGGTCAAGGGTCGCATTGATGAGCACAAGGGCATGCTGGAGCTTGAGTCCCGCGAAGATGCGGACCATATTCAGGGCATTACCGTTCTCTCCGAGGCCGTCGGGAATCTGTTCAATGCGGTTTTCAAGAGCACTGATGGGTTTCAGGCTGGCCAGGGGGATTTCATGAACTCCATGGCAGATCAAATTGGTGGAGGTGATATGGGCTCCTTGGATGATACAATGCGGTCGATGGGCTCTGGCAAACGCGGTCGCCGCGTGGGTCTAACACAGCGGGCCTATTAGGAAACAGAAAGGCGCTGAGATGTATCAAGTGGTCTCATGGCGGCTTCGTACCAGGAATTTGGGCTCCAGTTGACCATTTCACTCTTAGAGAGCTGAGATGATCTGGGTTAGACATCGGGAGTGTGTCCTGGCGTAGGACACAAAATAGAATAGGTATTGTCTAGTTCTCTACACCGGGGGTTAAATAGAACCCCGGCGCATAAGGGGCCATACATCAATGGCTAGAATCAATGCGGACAATTTCAAATCGTCCGTTACCATTCATTATTTTTTGGGGTTCTTTGTGGTAACGAAGACAGAAGAACATAATCAGTCTGCAGTTATCCTTTGCTTTCACTGGTGGAAGGCCACGTATTGAAATTGTATGTTGCCGCCATCTTCTCACTCCTCAATGTCTTCGCATCGATGCTGTGGTCAGAGTACATCATCTAAACTGGTGGCTTTGAAACCCGTTTCGACCAGTTTGTCTTCCCCAACAAATTTCCGGGTGCACCGAAACAGATCGTCTTGCTCCTTGTTTCTGGGTGATTCACTGCTTCGTTACGTGGGTCACCAACTAATACACTTGCGAGATTTCTCACGGACTCTCTGGTAAACTCATCATTGGATCCTTCGTTCCTTCCTCTCGTTAGCCAACACGAAATGCTACAGTCGAGGTAGGCAGAAGCCTTTCGAGACGGAAGCACTTGGGATCAATGCATCTACCAGTTTAGCTACCGGTTTGGCTAACATCTGGCAGCCTACACATCGCACCTTCTGTCTCTCTGCCCATGAACCATCGCTCCTCCAACAAAGCTATTTACACCCGGAACAAGCCGTAGCCCACGTAACACCAAGGAGGCCACTATCCAGCGCCTCTTTTCAACCGTATCATGATCGTGAACCGAAAGACAGGGGCTCTGTAACACATTATACACAATGCAAGATTTGCATTGGTCTCTTTATTTGGTGTCTATCTAGCTACATACGCCTACTCAACGTTTGTTAGCTGTTAGTGACTGAGTGGCTGAGTGATGATACTGCGTCCTGTCTGGACTGAAGAAGGACTACATAACAGCAAAGGGTCATATTGAACGGTAATTGGACATAAAAGCATAGAGTATGCAAGCTGTTTAACAGTCACACTATTATCTACATGTAATCGGTTATAGTTCGTTAGGTCTAGATTATTGACCATTTGCTCCCTTCCCCGGCTATAAAGAATAATGACTTCAAGATACTGCGCCCAAGGGACGGGGTAATAAACAGGAACAGATCGTGGTATCTAGTTGCACAAGTCGAGATATTACATGCGCGGAATAGCCGGGGTTACATCTTCGCCAGATATCGAGCAGACACGGGAAGGGAAGAGTACCTGGATAGATTTGGGGGGGGGGGGGGGGGGTTAGTAGTTTCACACTCTTGCTTGCCACTGCTTTGGTGAAACTCGATGCCTATATTGCTGTTGGGGGTCCTGCCTACGCTAGTACCTCAAGGTGTGTATGTCTCGTGTGTCTTGTTTCGCTCGGTTCCATCGGTCGGCGGTTGGCGGTTCGGTAGATACAGATATTAACCTTTTGAGTATGTGTACAATATGTCTGAGGCACCTACACGGTAACGCAGTACAGCGGCAGCATCTGTGATCTGTGGAACCCAACTTTACCTTTTTCTCTCATTATCAACCCAGCCTATACGGTACATGCGTAGGTGGGTTTTACGTATTGCATACCTATATGCTTTACCTACCGAGCCGAAGGTAGAATAATTTGGTCATCGAACTGTCTAGATCTAGGCAACGGTTTTGGAGTGTGTGAGCGGCTGTGTCGAGTACTTGCTTCTGTAGTCCTCTGTGAGTGACTGCGTGAGAGGGATTCGTAGAAACTTAGTAAACTCTTCAGGAAACGATTCACAGGAGACAGTCGCACAAGGGCCTCCCGAGGCCTCCCGTTGAGGCAAGTAAAAGGCGGAAAAAAGGCAGCCAAGGCAGATAAGGGAACACGGGCAAACGGAAGACAGGCAACACATGAAGAGCGGTCACCAAGGAAGATCAAGGGGCCAGGGTGGGACGATGAAGATGGAAACACGGTATAGGTGGGACAAGCTTCTGCAAGGACGGGAGCCCGCAGTAGTGTGCCGTAACGCGACTCGGAGTTCACTTTGTGTCGTGTGTTATTGTTGCTTTGAGGAGACTGGGGATCGTCAACCTCCAAGTCGTAGGGAAGTGAAGGGAAGATGGTGGAGGAGGTCAGAGGACAACCTACAGGGCCTTTTCACCTTCTTCCTCTTCGTTGCCTTTGCCATGTCCAGTTTGGGCAAAGGATTCGTGAATACCACCACTGGTCGATAAACCGCAACAATATGCCAATGATACCATGTATCGAAAAGGGGTAACGGCAAGTTGGTAAAATCGCTAACGGCGTGTGAAATCCTTTTGACACGCACAGCTCAGCACATTGCAGGAAGGTCGCAGCCGAGGAAATCGGTTGCTTGCATGCAGCACAAGGCGCCCTCGGACCGGATGCGAATACCAGTCTCCTCGGAGCCAATATCATCCCCATTTTTTTTGCCTAGCTGCCAGGGAAGAAGTGCCTGGCCGCATCACCGGTGACCCCGGGGCGCGGGCGGTTGGTTTGTAGGACTGCTTGCAGGTCTCCCCCGGTGTCTGGGCTGTTTTTCTTCTTGCTTTTTCCTGCTGTTTCCTTTTCATCGTTATATTGAATCGATAATGGGGTGATTCAGTGATGCTTGTTCCTGATCTTGAATCATGGCCTTCAGTGATAAGGGTCCTTCGAGTCTAACAATCCGACACCGCAGTGAGA